CCCCAAAACCCCAAAACCCCAAAACCCCAAAACCCCGTTGCTAATAAATAATAAAATAGAGAGTATATTGAATTAATAATCAATCTGATTCATAAAAATCTCCATCAAAGAAATTGAACAAGTCCTCATTAAACTCACTTAATTGAGACACTATGCTCTAATCTACTAATACCTTATGATGCATCAATGTAAATTTGAAATCTTCAAAATCCATTCCAAACTCCATCCACAGAATATCCTCTGCTAGAAAATGATAAATTTGTTAGAGCTACTCTTTCTTGACTTTAATAATATCTTTATTTTCCTTCATGGCATTTGCTGCTGCATTTAAAATCTCATTTAGTATTGTTAAGGCTTTAGTTTTATCAAGTTCTTCAATGATCTTACTTGAAACGGGAACTGGTATCAAGAATTATATAGGATCAAGGTGCTCAAGTATTGTTAGGGATCCCTGATCTCTAAGGTACATAAATTAATCAGGATTGATTTCCAAGTATGTGCACACAACTTCCCCAGCTTTTTTTGTTACATTCAACTTATATTGTAAATCATCTAATACCTATGAATTGTATAGCTTCACATTCTTCGTTCTTAAATTTTCCATTCTTTCATTTTGAAAGGATAGTCTGGAGCTCTCATACATAATTTTTGCTACTTTAAGCCAGACATCATCAACTTTAACATAATCATCTTCAGTGTATACATTTTAGTTGTGAATCGATATATTATACAATTAGTTCTTAACTGCAAGAGCTACATATTCGAGGACTTGATCACTAAAACCATAGAATTCTCGATCTTCATCGTCAAAAAAGATTTGATTTACTTAGTTTCTTCTTCTTTTTTCTTTTTACAGTGCTTTTTCTTCTATGTCTAACTAAGAATGAATCTCTTTCAACTATTCAGGAGTCAGTTATGATTAACTTCCGCTTTTAGAACCCTCCATTATCTTTTAATTGATTGAATTTGAATTTATAATTCATTCGATACTACTTTATAGCTCAATCGGGGTTTTGGGGTTTTGGGGTTTTGGGGTTTTGGGG